AGCAGGTCGTGAGATCTAGTCCATGGCCATCTTGCAGAATCTTTTTTTTAAAATCTTTATGCCACGAGTTAACAAATACGTTAATTGACTTTTTAATTTGTGAGACGAAATTATTTTTTGAATAATATTTTACCAATAAAAACACCTTATCAAAGGTGTAAGGTGAATTAAAGTGGTTCAAAGATTTAAAAAAAAAAAAAAAAAAAAAAAAAAAAAAACAAAACAAACAAAGAAACAAAACTACAAATCAAACAAATCTGTAAGCAACGCATAAAACACGAACACTAAAATAAATCCAGAGATGGGATCAGGTTTCTAGGAAGAGAAAGCATCCCCTCTCAACCGGTCACACACTATTTTGATCAAGCAGATGGTATACCCCCTAGTCAAAATAAGTATCAAATCAAACGCCGTGCAATTGGTATAAAATGTGTTATTCAAAATACCACTTAATGATAGGTTATATTTAATAACAAGGTCATTTAAATGACCATAGAATTTATGGTACGGTAAATTTAAACAAGTTTGTTGAAATCTTGTGACAGTAATTAATTTGTCAGTATCCTGCTTCAGCTTAAAAATAAATCCTACTAAGAGCAGCAAGCTCTTCAGTATCGAATAGGTTGAGAGACCAAAAAAAATGCAGGTGATAGCAGAATATTTCTTCATTAATAAGAAAAATTGATTATGGAAAAGTGAAAAAAAAAACATGAGGGTAACGACCATCGATAAAAAAAAGTGATCGATATAAAAACAAATCATAGAACAATACAAATTTGTGAACACGGCATTAGTCACGGACTCTGGAAATTCCAGAGATGGGATCAGATGCTTAAGATGAATAAGCATCCTCTGAATTAATCTCGTTTGTCATACAGATTATATCTAGATGTTAGTTGACCCTATCGTATATAGCCAGTAAACCATTCAAATATGAAACAGAAGTGGCAGACTCTGTTGTGTCTTTTATTTTATGTGCACTGAACTGAATGAAGGTAGCTATTGTTAATTGATGAAACGTCGTCGATAAATCTGAATGTCGAGTTGAAGTCTACAGCAAGTTTCCTTTTCTTCTCATGTTGAGGTTTCTAAATAAATTCTGCCTCGTAGGAATTAAAAAAAGGTTTGCTCATAAAGGAACACAGTAAGAACCTATGGGAATTCCCATAATTTGTTGGAAGATCTGGTCTCCAAAGACTACTTAGCTGTTGTCAATAAGGAACATCAGCATCCTTTAAATATCGACTTCAGAATATTTGTATGTAAAATCAGTTATTTTAGTGAGTTATCTTTTAACAAAGTAATTTTGTTCATGACCAATCATAAGATGTGAAGATTTCTGAGTTCCATTTTTAATGACGAAGCAGTTGTCTATGGTATTAAAAAAAAATCTAGTTCCTAATTTAACCTGGGGACTTGTTGAATAAAGTGCAGAAAAGTTATATGCTTTTAAGTTAAATTTGAAGGCATACGGTGACTCCCATATATGAATAGAAAAAAAAAATTGAATGGGACGATAAACAGCATACTACCAATCAAACGATGATGAGTCAAATAATATGCCAATCTCAAGTCAGGTACATTGACATGTACATACAGATCTACGTGTGAAAAGAATTTTGAAAGAGGTTTTTCTTCAAATGTCTACATATAGGCCTCACCAAATAATGGGTAATGAAAATTTATTATTGGACCATATTCATAGACATTATGCAAATAAATAAATGTCTTATATTAATGTACACCTAGCTTAATCTGCTATATTTACAGGTATACTTTATATGAAGCCAAAAAAAAAATAGTTGCATGTACGACGTACACAATTGAGATATAATGTTGTATACATTAAACAGACATAAACACCCCCCCTTCTTTCTCTGTGTGTGTGCAATTTGCTGTACTTATTGGTGATCTATTCAATATTTTTAAAATAATATAAAGCTATTCTTAAGGATGCAGCCAATCACGTGTACATTTCCTGATCAATGTCCCAAAGAATCTTGATCATTTTTGTAAAAAAACGTCCGGGCAAGATTACTTTAGGAGTAAATGAGGGCTAGAGAAGCTTCCAATGTAAAGGCTTTATCTAATAAATAAGCTTTGAAATACAAATATGAAATCATTATGCTCTTTGCAACCCAAAATATCTCCAAAACGGGTGAATGATTATCGATACATGATGACCACGGCTCTCTTTCAAGGATGCTGGATTTTCTATGCTGCTACAATAGCCATTCCAGTGTGAGAGCGCCGGTTTGATGCAGAAATAACAGCATATGGTAGAGAGAGTTAAAAATGACAGCACTGACGGACACCTCGAAAGCAGCGTACAGTTAAAAGTTAAATGCTTGAATTAACTTTGGAGAAAGAATTGAATATTTATCATTAAAAATTCATCCTTTAAATCCAAGACATAAAAACCACCATAAGGTCTGTGAAAGTTTGAAAAAGTGATTTGTTTGAAAATTTAATGTTATATGTGGAAAAAAAAAACACCAAAGGGAAAAATGAAATTCTGAAAAAGATTCTGAATTTTATAAACAGTTCAACATTTCATATCATTTATTTAATTTAATTTAATTTTATTATTATTATTTTTATTTTTTTTTTGTATAAGTTTACTTTTATTAAATTTTGTTTTAATTAAGTTTTCATCGTTTCCTTGATTTATTCGGTTTATTAATGTGTATAACTCAAATCCCAACACCTTTCAAGAAGTTTTTCTGACGTCATTCTAGGGCGACTGACAAGTCAAAAAATGCAAAATATTAGGATCAGGGGATAAAAGTCACCTAACTTCGTGAACTGAGGGTCCATATGAAATTCATATAAACTGCATTAAGTCATTAATAAAAAAAAGTTTACTATGACTTTGTGTATGTGTTTCACACAAGAATTATTATTATAATGTAACAAAGTTTTTCCTAGTTAAACGTCATAATTTATCCTGCCACTGTAAAAAAAAAAAAAAAAAAAAAAAAAAAAAAAAAAAAAAAAACTGAAATCAACATATCATATATACTGTTTAACATTTTTCTGTTTTCTCTAAAGAGGATCTTCATAAAAAATATCATATTAGATTCAAGCAATAGTGAAAGATACTAACGTTTGCGTCGATTATCGAAAATTAAAATAAATGTAAAATCTTTTGACAGGATAAACCCATTATTTAGACAGAGAAGAAAACATGGAAGTATTTTGCCTCACTAAAAATGGACTTTTTAAGAAAACTGCACTAAAACTTTAGTATCCAGAATACGGATATCTCGAATACCATGGATATGTTGAAGTGATAAGAAGTCCCAAGCACATATTTTCTAAACATTTCGAACCCTAGAATATTTCTTATTTAGAACGATGATGCATTAGTGAACTATTTGATCCTATCCGAATTCCATATAGAACAACAATTAATTGTCCCAGTTGAGACTGAAAGATTGTGTGGAGTAGCCAAAATCATGGACCTTGTATCTGTTTTCAGGGGATAAAACCCAGATGAGTATCACTCTAGAACGTCAATCATTCAGAATGCCGGAAAAAGTATCGATTTAAAACATATTGAAATATATAAAATTTTTCACAATTTCTCGGAATTAGTGTCAACTGATGATTTAAATATATTGATCTATTGTGTATTAATATATTTAAAGGATAGGAACGAGTCCCATCGAAATTAAGAAGTTTGATTGCATATAAATTTCAGGTTATCCCCTTTAAATAGCTTTAAAACAAATGATGCGTACACTTACTATTTTTAAGGAGAATCTCTTCATATAAAATGTTTTAATGATATTTTTGCGAGCATGTCTTTCTTATAATAGAATAAATATCCAATAAAATTAAGCTCCGCAAAATTTACTTTTTAATATATCCAGTACAATTTGTGCAAACCCCTTATTTTCAAATTTTTTAAAGCCATATGCTTTAAAGTTCTGATGGAAGTTCAATATTATAATAAAAACATTGAAATGCACATCAACATATTTACAGAATAATCAAAATATACATGATTTTTATTTCAATCCACAATAGCACAAAGAAATTACTAAAATATTATTTTTTATGAAAAGAGCTTGATAGATTCTGCCGAAAATCTAAAATTATAAATAATTTTGAAGGCTTCAAATGATAAAAATCAAGGACAATGAATAATTTTATAAAAATAAGAAACAAGAAATCGTAACATTACAAAAAAGACTGACCGAAAAGATTTACATTTAGTTAATTCATTTGTCATTATAAGGACCTAGTTAGAAAATACAATTTATTATTGGCTCGTCTTCCATATCAATTATACACTTTGTTTTTATACAATATTTATCAATAAAGGAGGCTTTGACTGGACAACAGAGCATGCTTACTCCTGCTAGACACCTGATCCTTCCTCATAAGTTTCCAGGATCCTTGTTTTATGCTCTGTCTACAGATTTGAATTGTTAAGTATTCATTTTAGATCGACTTTTTGTTTGTTATCTTCGCCATTTTTTTTTTAATTTGACAATGATTTCAGATTTTAAATAAGTCAAATAATAAGGTGTTGCTGACTAATTTTTAAGGCTTAAAAGCATAATCAAAGGTCGAAGCACTTGAAAAAAATCTATATATTATTGTCAAAGAAGATAGTTGTCAATATGGCCTTTAAATATTTAATTTTTAATTTTATTAAGAGATGAAAATCTTCATCTAATGAAGAAAATAATTATAAAGGTTCGATAATTTAAGGATAGCTAATTCAGAAACACATAACACTGAATTAATATTAGACATGCTATAGACATGAACTTTGCATTAATTAGAAGCAAACTTTCATTTTAATATTTGGATTTGCAAAGTAAACATGCATGGTAATCTATATCAGATTCAACAAAGCAATATTCTAATGAATGAAACATACGGAGTACGTAACAGTTAGCCAATCACTTTTAAGTAACTGATATATGATTTGATATTTATATTTGACGTTTGGTATACCATATTGCAAATTCTTACAGGAACGCAGCAACGCAGCAAGTAGCTTTAAATACAAATTACGATATGGGCGCTCTTTGGGCTATCTATTTAATTTTTGTCTTCTTTGCGTTGTCTCAGTCTACCATTATTTCGCGGAAATATACTGCAAAACTGGAAATGGATGATAAGAAATCAAATGACGAACTTTTAGGAGAATACAATTCTACATCGGTTATAGAGTGTGGAGCGCGCTGTCGAAGGGAGTGTAGTTTCTATGGATTTAATCCTCGGATGAAGAATTGCCGAACCCACAAGAAGATTTTCACGCCGTCGCTGTCTCATGAGGAGGGCTGGAGATATTATTCCCATGACTGTATGTATAATTGTTAATTTTTTTCGCTTGCCACAATTCACATAAACATTATTTAATCTAAATAATAGTCCTGTCTGTTTACTTATTTATTCTAATTAATCTTATTTTGAATGAAAACTGAATTTGAAATTGAAGAATTTATTATTATTTTTTTTTTAATGTATTTTTACTTTTTGTTAGTATTATCTTTGATAAAAAATTTGAACTTCTACTGTGAAGGAAATACTAATCAAAAAAGAGATCAGAGCTTACACTGTGACAATAAAGAAATGAACTTCATTTTAAGCATCATAACATTATATCACTCTTAACCATAAGAAAGTTGTTTTTTTTTTTATATAATTTACTAAAAAATAAAAAAAAAAGATGTTCTTCAAGCTTTAGTAACTCTAAATTATTATCTCGCAATAACTGTTATGAAAGCTGAGATGGGAACCCTGCGCCATTGACTACTTAGCATTCTCTGCCATCCGGTATTTTTTAAAGGAAATTATAGATAAAAGACTTGACAAATTTATGAAACTTAAATAATGTTTAGTAATGAGGAGCAGTTTAACATAATCTACATTGTAGTTTACAACTTAACTTCAGCAATTAACCTTAATCATTCTTATAGATATTATGTACCCTCTTACTACCTGTGTATATATTTGATAAATCTTATTAGGATAAGTCGTTCATTGGTGATAGGAATTTTTATTTTTCTTATTTGTTCACCTTATGCTTCCAGCCTCAAATCACTGTTCCATCTTCTCAACACTTCCCTATTGAGGTAGAAATGGACAGGCCTCTGCATGACCGTATAAATATATTCAATATATTTATTTTTTTTTTATTTTTATAAATAAACGTACCACCAAGTCACCCAGCCGAGGAGACTGAAGCAATTATTTTTTGGTGGCCGGCCATACATGTAGTATAATGTCAAGGCAAAAAAAAAAAAAAAAAAAAAAAAAATTGGGAAAATAAAGATGAGAGTTGATACAATTTCAAATAGTGAGGGAAAAAATGGGAGGTTGTTTTTCAATACATGCTTAATTTAAGTTATAGACTAAACTGAAAATTAAAGGAAAAAGGGGTGGGATAAAAAACTTTTTAATATATACTGCGATTCTGGTAACTCAACGTTAAACAATAATGTAGATTTTATAAAAGCATACTAGTATTCTGGTGAGACGGCAACAAATAATTCTATTATTGTAGATTGTAAGTTTATTTTTCTGCTTTAGTTATTCCCATAGATTGTAAGGATCTTCATAAAGATGGTCACACTAATTCAGGAGTGTATGAAATTTATCCCTATGGAACCATTACTAGTCCTGTCAGAGTTTACTGTGATATGGTAACAATGGGTGGAGGATGGACGGTATGTAGTTTATTTCAAAATTAGGGTGCATTATATAATTAATATTTAGTGATTCCGTTGTTCAAAATAATAAAGAATAATAAAATATGAATATTTTTAGTTTATATCATAACATATTGATGATACAATTGTTTGAAACAATGAATTGTATTGCTATACATGTTCTTCACGTTGAAAGGCAATCCAAAAACGCGTAAACGGATCTCTGAGTTTTGACAGGAGTTGGGCAGATTATAAAAATGGTTTCGGTTCACCTGAACAGAATGTCTGGGTTGGTAAGTGTAAATTATTATCAAATAAGGACTTTCATCTGCTTCTAAATTTTCCAAAATTGCTTTACTGTGAAAAATAAAAAATGGAATCACATCAAACATCTGATTGTAAGTCTTGATTATATGTTCATGACAATACTCACTCATCAGGTTCAGTTGCAATCTGACATAAAAAAGAAAACAAATGAGAGCGAGAGGATTACATCACTCAGCGGTATAGTCTTTGAAAGATACTAAATTTAGCATCAATGTCTACAGCTTAGGAAAATAATTTGATTTTTCATTAATGTATATTCATATTTAAAATAGAATTATTGTATTCCAATAGACTTTACAGTTGATTTCAAATATATTTTAATGCAGGGAATGACGTAATACATCAGTTAACAAAAGAAAAGAACCCATTCCTTTATGTGTCCATCACTCTCCAAAATGGTACAACGCTGTATGAAATGTACGATCGATTTTCTGTTTCCAATGAAGCAGAGAAATATCAACTCTTTCTAGCAGGACCTGCCACGGGAACCTTAGGTACGTGTAAATAAGTTAAGTTCTTAAAAATAGTTACCAATCAAGTATAAAATTATATACTTCTATGCATAGAAAGATTATTAAGTTGTTGAAAAAAAAAATACAGATATATTTTTTCTAATATTCCGTAAACGTCTTTAATTCCAAGATTTTAATATTTCCCGATATCATTCGTAGATATAATTTACGAATTCCGCGGTAATCGAATTTCTCATTGCTTAGTTGTTGGAAATTTTAAATTATATGTTTTAAAACAAAAGAAAATTATATTAATTTTTTAACTAGCAGATTCAGTAGCAACCTTTGATCCGCCGTTGTTATATTTTTTTTTTCCTTTTTTTTTGTTTGTTTGTTTGTTTGTTTTTTGTTTGTTTATTTGTTTTTTTTTTTTGCTTGTTTGTTTGTTTGTTTTTTTTTTTGTTTTTTTTTTGATTTTCAATAATCTACATTTTGAACTAGTACGGAATAGGAAGTTTACAGCGCGTAATTGATATATAATATGACATGTTCACGAAAGCTCAATGTTCAAAGAAAATGATTTGAGCCGTAACATAGTCAAATAAATAAAACAGTCAAATTTAAAAAATCGCAACGCATTACACTTTTACAATACCTATTCTATATTAAATGAAAATCTAATATTTTAAAACATTTACAGGTACATCATTTCTTACCTTGTTATTATTTTGAATGATTTGCTTCGTATTGCATTGTATACATTTTAAAGGCAAGGTCTCTATTATTACAATTATTTTATTTATTTTTTTTAATCATACTTTAAAAGTGTAACACGCCTGGAGTTTATTGTTCCATTAGAAAGAATGCTTTATAAATTGCACAGCGTTTTGTATTGTATTTTTTACTAAATATTATCGCTATTTACAGAAGACAGCACGAGAATCCGTTTATCTTAGATGTACTTCAGTATTATTGACAATAAGATTAATGTGATATATATTGACATTCCACATGTATTTTGCTTAAAAAGTGTGAGAAAAGATACGGCATTCAAAACACCATAACATGAAAAGGGGATCAAAAGGTTAAAGTATGCGTTTTATTTTGACGTCACAAATGTTGAACGCCGTGGAAATGCTACGTCATAAGTGAAAATCAAAATCAAAATTCTGGCTAACATTGAACAGAATCTGTTGCAATATCTCTTCCATTAATTGTAACTTACCCTAAGGATAATACAGGGATTTTGAAATCTTAATCAAATTTGCAGTCAAAGCAAAGAGTTAAAAATATACAATTTGTTTGCACATACCGTTACAGTTATGACTGCCCGTGTGTAGAAGTTCCAGGTTGCATTTGGAATTTCCAAGTTAATCACTTGGAATTCATCATTTGGAATTTCCAAATCACCATTCGGAGTATTGGAACAAATTTCCAAATGGTTCCAAATGACTTCCAAGTTACTTCCAAGTTGTTTCCGAATGACTAAAACTCAGATTTTTCTAGAAATTTCCAAATGACTTCCAAGTTACTTCCAAATGACTTCCGAATGACTATTACAAATGTGATTCAACAAATAAAAACAAGATTTCATTGGCTTATATTTAAACATGTTGTTCAGATAACAAACAACCAGCGATTTGATAACACATATCATACAAAACACTATTCTTTTGGCATCATTTAATGTTTAATATTCATTGCATTTGAAAAAGACAAACCTTCCTGGTTAAAGATTATCCTGTAAAACTGTTTTAATTAAAATATTCACCGATATTTTTGCAAAATTCAAATCCAAGTCACAAATGAAGAATAGTGGTAATTTAAGTATTCATGGTATTTCCTGGCTTCATGTATTTACGGAAGTAATAAAAGTCGAACACGTTGTATTATCATCAGAACATGCACTGACATGACGAGTAATTCCAAAAAAGACACTTTTCACAGTTTCAGCAATGATCAATCCGATAGGGTCTAACTGTTTTTTCAAAGAGAAGTCCGACATAAAATGAAGATTGAGATACCACCGAGTCATGAACTTAAAAGATGGTAATTATCTCCATTGCACTACATATACTTCAAAGAAGATCAATCCTCTTTTAATGCGATCATGATGCAACACTGTTTAGATTTGAACCGCCTGATTTCAAAATTCACGAGGTTAAGCCCGAGACAAGACCTCGAACCCGATCACCTGATAACATAACATCTGCTCATTAAACATATAGACTAAGTTTCATCTCTGCACTTCCAAATGGTTCCAAGTAGATTCCAAATTAAATTCAGATTCTTCCAAATAAAATTCTTCCGAATGACTTGGAAGTACTTGGAATTCCAAATGCTTCCAAATACTTCCAAGTAATTCCAAGTGACTTCCGAATGAGAATCGACGGGGAGTTGGAACTTCTACACAGGGGTAAATAAATACATAAAATAATGATTCAATTCTTAAATCTATCAATCAATCAATTATCTCTGTGATGTATTTTCTCTACAGGTGACAACATGAGAAGTCGTGATCTGTCTGTGTTGTACCTCAGTATTATTGACAATAAGATTAATGTGATATAAATCAATTATCTTATTATTTTCTCTACAGGAGACAGTATGTTAAACACTCCTTATTATGGGGCCAATCTGTCTGGGATGTCATTCTCCACCCCAGACAGAGATAACGACAGGTATAGTAGTGGTAACTGTGCTGCTTTCAGTGACAAAAGAGGAGGCTGGTGGTTTAACGAATGTCACTACGCCTTCCTTAACGGTCAATGGTACCCGGGAGACTGGTGGAAAGTTTGGTATCCTACAGTAAAGAGTGAGGCAAATGTGAGGCAGACCATGATGTTAATAAGACGTCACTAGGTAAACAACACTAAATCTTAATATCCATTTACTCTTGGTATTTCCTTGAACATTTTAAACGGTTATTAAAATACTCGTAAGAGGTATAAAACATGCCCTTCTTTTTTTTCTGAAACATAATTTAATTCTTTTACTTTTTTCATAAAACATTATTTAATTCTTTTATTATTTGTTTACTTACAACAGAGGGACATTCAAAATTGAGAGACCAGGCCTCAAATTGACGACGACCACCAATCAGATAAAACATTTCTGATAAAAGAGACAATTTTAAATTTATCATGGGATCTATTCATTTTTTTTTTTACATAAAGTTATATATTAAGAGAGAAAACTTGTAAAGGATTGTGTTTTGAGGTGGTTTTGTGGTTGAACTATTTGCTGAAGCAATAATGTTTTTTCAATTTTCCTTACTAAATGTACCAAGTAAAAGCTGTACATAATATGTGTTGTAATAAATTGGAAATTAGAAATATTTCCTTCTTATTTACGAACACTGTCAAATGAGGATGCCTTGAAGGATAATCGGGATAAAGATTTCTCTATTTATTAAACGTTTTACAGTGGCAACTGTTTTAACCGACACCTATACAATCTGTGAACTCCGACATTGAATTTCATTCTCATTTCTACTAATTTCTATTATCTTTACACTGTGTAATCTAACATCATGTTTATTTTCTCCCAGTGCATGTCGGATAGAACAGGTTTCATTGTATTCAAGATATTTTATTACGTAATCATAATTAGTTACATTGGATGTTCATGTTCTGCAGTACAATATATCCAGGATTATGCTTCTTGAAAGATATATACCTTCTTTTTTTTCCATGAATGCAATATTTTGAATGGATGAGCAGACATAATCCATTATATACAGTACCAACCAGACCCAACCTGACACCTAAGCAGTCCCAGAAAGCAGTCCCCAGGACTGCTTTGGGACCGCTCTGGGACTGCTGTGGGACTGCTCTGGGACTGCTCTAGAAAGCAGACCCAGCGGTCCCTGGGACTGCTTTCTGGGACTGCTTTGTTCAATCATGCATGAAAAAGGTTCTGAGTGACATGATAGCTCCGCCCCTTGTGTATTCTGAATTTGCAGGCTCCCTGTTGTTGTTTTGTTTACTTTCAGCAGAGGGGTGTTTAAGATAAAGAATTAAAAAAAACCCCAAGGATTTTTTACAACATTTTAATAAGTAGAGATAGAAATACATGTAATTATAATTACTAAATGTCTTCAGGGGCTGTTAATTTACACAATTGTAGTCTAGATTTAATTTTAAAAAATGAAAGTAGTTAAAAGGGAAGTCAGGAGATGACTTTTATCCGTTAAATTAAACTTTAAGACAGGTGTTTGAAAAAAAAAAATATCGAGGCCTATTTAATTAATTAATGCTGTCAAGTTACGGAATGTACTCAAAGTTTGCATTAGCACTATTTAAAAACAAACAAACAAAAAAACAAAGAAACTTGTCATTACAATAAGACATTCAGAGGGACGTACTGTACTGGATTTTTTTTAAATTGAAAAAGCTAAAACCATATGCATGCTAAAAAAGAGCATTCCATGCTATTTTTTACCACCCTCAAATAAAACCTAATAATTTATTAAATGACCATGAAATAAAAGTATTCTACCATTCTTCAGTCATTTAAAAAAATTATATTTGTGAACAATTATTGGGGGATTTATTTATGAATTTGTTTTTGATTTATAAACAAGTAATTAAAAGAGTAAATTTATAAACATTTTAAAATTTTGGGAATTGTGGCTTATTTCTTATTTGTTTTGTTTGTGTTTTCCTGGCCGATTAATAAAAAGCAATACAAATGTATAAAATGGTGTCAACACCTGAAGTTTCAATCGCCTTCGGGCATGATTAGCAGAAAGTCAATGCAAGTTATTTGGGTATCAGTGTTACACATCACTGAACATGCTGGTCAACAATGACACTAATTTCAATCTATGTACTGCAAAAAATCTTCGTTTCAATAAATGTGTATAAATTTATTTCGGGATTAATTAATTTTGAACATAATCTGAGGGTTCCATTCGCGTGATTTACAGATGTACACTCAAACGTTTATATAATAAAAGTATTACTGTTTTTTGTTTCATAGACAATTTAACGATAATTAAATTAGCAAGTCAGTGAAAATAATCATGACTGAAATATAATACACAAAGAATTTT